TTATACCATTTTGAAAATATTGTAAAAAGTGCCCCATGAAGTTTCAAACGTAAAGATAAGCTTGTTGTCCTGATTAATATTTGGAGAGTGTATCTCTTAGATCTTACTCTTTTTATAATTCGGTCAACGTCTTATAAATTTTAAATGTCTGTTGAAGTTCATGGTTATTTTATTCCAACGATTATATTTATTCCGGGTGTAATTCCATACATTGGAAGCGCGGAACATGTGCAGATAAATTTTTACCCACTTGGGAGAAGAGATGTAAATGTTGATAGTGGATGCAGCAAGCTGTAAACGTTAACGACACTCCTTGCTCCTCTGGTCCTCTGGAGCTATACCGGCCAGGAATTTATTAGCTTTAAGTTTTCAACCCTCTCCCAAAGCGCACAACCTTTTTTCATAAAACCTTCCCTCCGACGGCATTGTTTAGATTTTTTTCTCTCTATTATTCCAGAGTATCCAGGGCAGAGTAGAAGAATGTTTCATGATATAAAAAATAAGAAGAAATAATCCTTCAGAATGAAATAATCTTTGAAAAGTTTATGGATTAAATTATGTAAATCATCTATAACTTGGGAATTGTATTATCTACTTGTAACGGAAATTTGATATTGCCTGGGAGTCAAGTTCGAAATGCAATGGTCATTTCACTATCTAACCTAACGTCTCTCTATTCTCATGGTTCTCCAACTCTTGTGTTAAGTTAAACAGAAAATAAATAGTCGTACTATAAAGATTGATAATTAAGTATAGCCGCACAAATCGCTGCTTGATACTAATTATTATTATTTTATTGCGGCAGTGGCCCCGTGACCTTTTGTAACATGTATATACTGGAGTTCTGGCAATGGCCAGATTCTCCACTCAAGTCATGAGTATCCGTGGTTGTAGCGCCCTTACTCAATCTCCACTGGCTTTCAATGCCAGTGAAATGGTTGATGAAGAAGAGCAGGGATCTCCTGAAGCCTTGCTTTCTCTCCACGTGTGGGGGGATAAGTATGGTTCGGAGTTCCTATGGCCGACTGTAAATAGTGTAATAGGTATGCCTGCGTCTAAGATGTTTATTTTCATTACTTTTTTTTTTTTTTTTCTCACTATGATATTTTATTTTGTTCTTTTGTAGTTTTATATTATTTGAAGTTAGCTTATTTTTTTAATTTGTAAATATGGTGTGAATGTGCTCTCAGAACTTTATTGTAAATGTCCTTTATTGAGACAGATTGTAATATTTATCAATAAAAAAAAAAAAAAAATTATTTTATTGAGTATTAATACAGTCTGCCACACTGAAGGGCATTGGTACTAGGGCTATAGTATTCATTCACACAATATGTACATAAGAAAGCAAAATAAATAAAAATAACCAAGCAAGATGAGAAAGAGAAAAAAAAGAAGAAAAAAAAGATATATATATATATAATCCTTTTTTTCCTGTTTCTCTTCTTATATATATATATATATATATCTTATTTTTCTTTTTTTTTCTCTTTCTCTTCTTGCTTGGTTATTTTTATTTATTTTGCTATAAATAAAAAGATAAAATGCAGCAAATATTATAACTAATGGGATAAATTTCCCTTCATCCAAAACAATAGCGCTTTCCTCCAAGAGCTGGCAGATCTAGTATTAAGTAGTGAAAATTTATAGAAGTATATAAATAGATTTTTTTTAAAATAAATAAATAATAATAATAATAATTTACATCCATACCTTCATTCTATTATAATCTAACACGAGGGGCATTATGACTTCAAGGAGAGTCTTTGGCCGACAAGAAAAAAGAATAAATTTTATATTATTTTAGTAAATAGCACAAAAATTTTATTTACACTTATATGCCAGACAGATTGTTATAATACTCAATAAAGAAATTTGAAAAAAAAAAAAAAAAAACACTTATATGCACATACTTTATGTTTATCCTGTTTTCCTTTCTGCAGTCTGTAACATTATACTTATTTTTCACAGTAATACGATATCCTGAATCTACTTCCGGGTTTTGATGATCGATGATAGTACTTCTTGGCTTCTTGAATTACAAGACAATATTACAACGTCATAGACCATCCGTAAAAAATAAATTGACACAAGCAACTGCACTTATCAAAATTTATAACTCGCTGTATAATTTAAATTAATGGTCACAGTTCTCACAATATTTGTAATTATTATATTTTGTTTAAAGGGACGACAAAAAAATCCAGTAGAGAAATATATTGTATTTCTTAATTTTTTTCGTTAAATGACTTCTGAATGCTAAGCAGCTTTTCATAGACCTTGTATATCTTTTCCTACAATTATCAATCAAATTTTATTACTAAATAATTAATTTAAACTATTCATATATTGACAACGACCAAAGTCCTCGAATAGACACGGTAATTTATGTTCAACATACGTTCCACATAAGGATGACGTGGGGCTCACATATTAAAATGAAACGGAAGGTTTGTTATAAATTATTTTATTACGAAGCGGAGTAACTGGAAATGAGGAGGCTGACCTGGCAGTCAACATGGCAAGAAAAGCAAGCACAAGTCGGGTGGAACTAATTAATAAAATCTCTTTAGAGGACTATATGAAAAAGAATAAGATGGTTGTATGAAAATTTTTAGAAAATACAGGAAACTAAACGACTCTACATTGAGAGAAATAAAATCCCACTGCTCAAAATGGGAAACCTTTTGTCGATCCTCAAGAAAAGAAGAGACAGCCCTCTGCAGATTAAGAATTGGACATTGTGAATTCTCGCACGACTACCTACTAAAAGGAATTGATCCTCCGACCTGTGAAAAGCGCAATGTCAAAAGAACTGTAAAACACATTACTGAAGACTGTCCTACACAAAAAAATATCAGAGAAAATTTGGATATAGCATCAAACCTACGAAAGCTGTCAAAAAAACATTAGAATTCCTAAAAGCGGTGAAACTCTGTAATATAACTTATAATTAGAAGGTATTGCCAATGACTCCACAGGGTAGAGGCAACAAAAAAAAAAATACTTAATTCACTTTTATCGGATTCTTCAGAACTGAAACTGAGACAGAAAATGAATACATATACATACTTACATAAACTCAGATGGACGTACTCATCACAAATATACGTTATCCCTATAAAGATCTACTTATCAACAAATATACGTTATCCCTATAAAGATCTACTTACAAAAACTTTAAATCTCCTAATTATTGCAACTCATCACAGTAAAAACTAAGTAAGTGACTAACAAAACTCTACGTACTGATCTCAACCCTCCAATAGTTGATCAACACCCCTTTACCAACGATTTTACACTAATTAAAAGTGTGTAATTTATTTAAACCACATTCTAGGTGTATGGTAAAAATCCAGGACGAACTTTAGAGTTCTTTTATTGGAACCGAAGGCCAAAACGGTAAATTTCTGGAGGACCATCAGTAATTAATCAAACTATTGTACAGGTTGATTTTTTTTTTTTTTTTGTAATGTGATTCTGGCATCATAATTATAGGCTTTAGTATTTTTTTTAATCTATCTATTATTATCTATCTATAATATAAAGCAATTAAAAATTGTCACAATTGGCAAATTGCATGATAAACAGATAGTTGCATGTTAGATTTGGCGAAGGACTGTACCAAGGAGCACTCATTCCCAGGTTTGATTAAGGTTCGTTCAGTCACGGAAGGATACCATCCCCACTATGGCCATTTCTTCCATTTAGACCTTCTATTGGTTCATTGTTCTATTGTTCACTTGTAGTTTAAATAATTTCAATCATTACCACTTGACTACCAATGGCGTAATTACAAGATTTTACTTATTCTAGTAAGGAGGAGAGGCCGCGGACGTGGTACCAAAGATTTTGATGAAACTTTTTTTGGTGATAGATAGTAGGTCGAAAAATATTAGACATGTGTCTGGGGGTTCATGCCAATGAAAATAAAATTTTATAATATTTCAACAGATTTAAAAAATAAAAAAAATTGCTTTTGTTCTCCATGGATTTCAAGATTGTAATAAACTAACCAATTTCGTTAATTTTTTTTTTAATAAGAAAAAATATGTTTCCAATTTGATTCATTGTATCGATGAACTAGATCTGCCGTAAGCAGGGTGACCTATATTATAAACTATAGGTCATCTTAAAAACCTTATTCAATTAGATTTAATTTATTTCCTGTACACAGAGTGTGAATGTGATCTGTGAACACTTTTATAAATGTCCTTGAGACAGATTGTAATATTTTTCAATAAATAAGCTAATAAAAAATAAATTAAAAAAAAATAAATTAGAAACGGATATATAAAAGAAAATCGTTTGAGGAGTAACATTTTATTTTTCTATTGTAATTCCATAAAATCTAAAGGTTATAGGTTTAGGTTGGAAAATCATGAATTCAGTTTAAGAACGGTTTTAGTCAAATAGATTTTTTTTAAACCCTAAGGAGTTAAAAATGTTTAACTAATCAATGAATCCAAACGAATTCAAATTGTTTAAAAAGACGCTAAAAACTAACTTGTCTGTTTATTATTCAATTGATTAAATTTTTCGATACCGTATTGATTGTAATTTTGTATAGATTTTAACTTAAATATGATCGGCAATCACACGAAATAAAACTGAATTTTAAAGTCTAATAACCTTGAAATCTATGCAATAATATCTACTAACTAACTAAGGCCTGCGCTTTATTGACCATAAAATAGAATTGAAAACACCAATAAGGCGAGATTAATAATTCATTTTTTTTTTTTTATAAAAGGAATGCCAAGGACAGTGTGTATTGTAAGAAAAGAAATATAAGAGGTCCAGAAGAATTTTGACTTCGAGGATTTAATTCTTTTTATATTTGTTGGTTTCGCTATTCGTATATCCAAAGTGGTTCTATGAAGACTTTATAAATAGTTAATTTAATAGTCCCTGATAATTTATAACGTCAGTCAAGTAGCCTAGAAAGAAGTACGTTTCGCTGATTAATAAACTAATTAATAAAATTAATTATTACTCACATTTTCGATGACGCAGACAAGTGTGAGATCACTACCATGACCTATGTGAATCTCTCCTGTTCCTATGATGTCAGCTGTTGGCACCACTACCTCCAGGTTGTACAGCTGGCTTTGGGTACCTCTGCTTGAGGCAACCTGCAACACCAGACTAAAGAATTATTTCTGTCCTTTCTAAGGCCTTCAAGGAAGATAATTTCTTTTGATATTTCTAACAAAATATGATTTGATATAATAAGCAATATAGTAGTGTACTTTTATTAGAAAACGATAACTGATTTCATTACTTAATCATCATTGAAAATATGTATCAGTAGTTAGTTATCAATTAAGGAACCAAGTACTTACCAAAGGAATTGAAATTCCCATGAAATAAAAACCAAATATGAGGACTATTCACTTACACTATGCTAATAATATCTGTTTTTTGTTTTTTTTTTATCTGTTTATTGAGTAATAATACATTTTGCCACACTTAAGGGCACTGAGTACTAAGGCTGAGTGAGGCACATTCATACCATATATACAATATATAAAAATAAAATAATTAAAAAAATAATAATAAAAAAAATAAAAAAAAATAAATAAAAAATATAAAAATCTATATAACAAAGGCAAAAACTACAATAAACCAAGGAAATGTAACTTAGAGTTAAAATTAAATGAAATACAGAAATTCGTAGCAAAATTAAATAAATTATAAGTAATAGAAATAAATAAATAAATTAGAAAAACATTCATACTTAAATACAATATTTACAATTAGGCAAGAGATCTCCGAGTCCAGCCCTTTCCCCCACGTGTGAAGGACAAAGCGAGACCCTAAGAGATCCCAGCGCTTCTCTCTCAACCGCGTCGCCGGCATTACCAGTCCGTTGGAGACTGAGAGAGGGCACTAAAACCACAAACACTCATGACTTGAGTGGAGAAGCTGCCCATTGCCAGAACTCCAGTGACGTCTTTACAAGAGATCTCGAGGCCTAATAATATCTGTTAAGTTAAACATTTTTAAAGGAAGGAGATGGTCTGGTTGGCTATCATAAATAGGTTAAATAATGGAAAAACTATTTTATTAAAATCCAACGTTTCAATCCGACTTAGCAGGTCTTTTTCAGGAAGGTGTATTGAGCTAGGTGTTTCACTTGACTCCTAGCTGTTCAAGTAAAACTTCTAGCTGAACACACCTCCCTGAAGAAGAACTGCAATGTCGGATCGAAACGTTGGCTTTTAATAAAACTGTTTTACCACTATTTAGCCTATTTATGACCGCCTCCCCGGACCATCTCCTTCCTTTATAATGCAACGGTCAACTGTTAACTATTCAAAAATTAACCTTTTTTTCTTTGTTATAAAACACTTCGCCCTATTTGAGTTTTTTGTCGCACAGTTTTAGATTTTTATTTCACGATTGAATGTTTTTTACTATACAAAAACCTGATCCGGATATATAATAATTTGAAGTACATTTTTTGTGCTAATATTGCTTGATTAAATATTTTCCTGAGCTTGAAAGGTAATTAAATGTTGAAGAGAAATTTTAATTAACTGAAAACATTCAACACATATTTTGTATTAAATTCAATTCACTCATCGAAATGGAGATTTTCTTTTCACTTTATCCGATTCAATTGCTATTATATAACAGTATGGAAATAGTAAATGTTCTTTACTTAAGATAATATTCTGCTTCAAACATATTTGAACGTTTATTTTCATGAAAAAAGGCGAGAGTACTTGTACGCTCTTTTTTTTATTTCATAATTAGTGTTTTTTGCAAAAAATTACTTACATAAGTACATTTTTGATATAGCTGAACTTTTAAGAAAATTTTTGTGAATTTCAACATCATTTCTCAAAAATACAGTAAGTGAACTAAACTGATACAAATCCTTGTATATACCAAATATAGTTCGAAAAAGTTAATTTTCTTATTTCACATATGGAAACATTATCATAGTTTGTAATGATTTAAGGTTATGAATTATCACATAATGTCCTTTTGCTATAAAACGACGATAAACAACGATTATTTATAATATGATGTATCTTTGTTAAATACATTTTTTTAAACTTAATTTCTGCAACCATACATGTTGTAAATAATAACAATCAATAATGAGTCTACTTTCGGGAAGGATACTGGTAGTGGCTTGATCGGCGTGAGGGAGAGGAGTGCCCAGAGGCAGGCATTTCTATCTTGATTTTAGCATGCTTTTTAAACGAGTAAATCCCTCATCCAGCTTCTTTTGAGCCCCCTAAGTGTGTTTTAGGGCACGTTAATTGTAGTCACACTAGTAAGAGTGTGATAGTATGTCTATGTAAGTTATCGTGATATAATTTGCTGTGTGTCCATATGTGAAGTTTTGGAATGCGAAGGTCTTTATGTAAAGTAATATTTGTAACGTACCATGAAGCTTTATAGTCATGAATGTTTCTGTCTAAAAAAATGTATTATTCCTATATGTATCATTTTGGCTGTCCCGATTATCTGTGAAGCGTGGCTTAAGTAGAATGTAAATGTTCAGTTTCTTATTTAAGTTTAATTTTGAGCTCCTAGAAAGAAGGGTTTATGACAATCGTAGTCTGAGGTTTAACGTTTTTCTTTTTTTGTTGATATATTTTCATGATTTTTTTTTTAATGCAATTTATTATTTAGCCTTGTTTCTATGACTGACAATCGGAATGTGGAACAACTTTTTTTTGGTCCACTTTTGAGTCCAGGTCAAGGAATTCGAGCCAAGCAAATGAGCTTGTTGGAACTTACTAATGAATAATACCGCTTACTAATGAATACAATTACAATTCCTCCATTTTGAATGTTAAGGCCTTTCTAACGTATGCCAAAAGGTACGCCCATTCATTAATGGAAACCTTATGATCCTGGATTCTACCTGGGCAGAGCAAACTACACCTAAGAGATGCAAATCCGGCGCAACGTAGAGTGTACTTTATAATGCAGTGTGGTCGCTGGTTCTTGCCCGCAATGGTGGCAAGTATCTTCAACCTTCACTCACCACTCTACAAATCGTTAAATGTTGTTATGACAGCTATTACAAAGATTTGAGACAAGACAAAATTAATAATTTTCTATTTCTCCACTCTGTTAAATCCATGTTAACAAATATAAAAAATACTGATACACAACAATTATTATTTGGTTTCAGTATATTCAGGGTAATGTTGGAATATTACGAAATACTGAAATCTGGAATTTTAAAAACGTTCAAAACGAAAGACAACGGGCCAAAGAGTTGGGTTCTCTTGCCAGGTAACAATTTGAATTCTAACTGAAACTTAAAATATCAAATTAGTAATAATGAAGGAAATAAGGGAGTTATGTGAGCCTCAACGTGTCCATTGCCGAATAAAGTGTTCAACTTCTTTTTATTTTATTTTAAAGTTGCTTTAGTGCCCTCTCTTAGTCTCTACTGGATTCCCATCCTAGTGATGCGGCTGAGAGAGAAGCGCTGGGATCTCTTGGAGTCTTGACTTATCCTCCACACGTGGGCGAAAGGGCCCGACTCGGAGCTGGCTCGGCTGACCATAACTATCGTAAGTATGAATGTGTTTTTTTTCCCTTATATAATGTTGTCTCATGTTTGATTTATTCTGTTATTCAGAGTTTCATTTTATTATAATCGTGTTTTTCTTTGATTCTATATTGTTTGTGTTTCATACATTCTAAATACTCAATAAAATATCATTAGTAAGAATAAAATTTTCAAAGTGGTTTCTTGTTTTTATCCAATTATTAACATTCAACTAAAACTTCGTGACTAGCTTCATCTAATCGTATGTTACAGCTTTTTTCTTTACGAAAATACTCGGAAATGAAGCGTTTTCAAGCTGAACATAGGCACACGTTGTCTATTTAATTACTAGGTACTAAAAACTCATTAACACCCTTTTGCTTGCTACTTGAATCTTAAGGTAATTTGATAAAAAAAGCCGTTGGAGGTGACCTTCACTCCTAACGTGTCAAGATTACGAGGTTATATAGGACCAACGGCCCAATATTTATGTAGGGCACCTTTTTTGTTTTTCGATTGTTCAAATTATCTTTCGATTCAAGTGGAAACCCCCATAGATACCCACTTGGGTATTTATGAGTTTTTACCTTATTAATTCCTTTTTTTATCTTTTTTATTGAATAATATTACCGTCTGTTTCAAAGGGCATTTATAATAGTGTTCAGAGATCACATTCACACTCTATGTTCAATAAATTATACAGAAAAATAATATATACAATAAGTCGTAAAATTTTGGATTGAAATGACTTTACTTTTTGTAAGTGCGTCTTCTTTGTCGAACCGTAAATCTGAGAGGCGTATGTCCAGATGAGTTTGAGTAGATAAGTGTATGTATTTAGTTTTTGCCGAACTTTCAATTTCGATTTAGAAAAAAATGTGGACAGTATATTCAGTCGCTTATTATAGTCTATAATTTCATTTTGACGTGTGGGCCCCAGGTCATCCTTCTATCGAATTATTAGTCCCAGGTAACGTACTGTGTTTGTCTGAGGAATTTGGTTCACTTCGATATAAATTGGTGGGTACGTTTCTCGTCGAAGTGTAAATTTAATGTGTTGAGAATTGTCATGATTTAATCTTATTTTCCAAAGTCAGTACCAATTTTGTAAAGGCAGTAAGTGATTTTGTAAATTCATTGAAAGTATTCTTGGTTTATGATGTTCATAATATTAAAATGAATTTTGTATATTTTTTTTATTTTAGAAATTAAATATAAATACATCTAATTCTATTTAGTAATTTTAAAAGATAATACATCTACAAGCGATGTATATTATGTTTTAATAAATAAAATATAAAATAAAAAACGTATTTTATTTTCAATATTTGCATTTGCCCTTTCCATGAGAATGACCAATATATTGGACAAAAAAATCTTAAAGAAATACCATAAAATATGCCTATTGATAACAAAGCTTGAAGGTAAGATAATTGGAATTTTCTTTTAGCCTTTGCATTACTATTTTTTTAAGTCAAATTTATTTAAGCATGATATTCCATTCTATGACACAATAGTGATTTAAATTCAAAACCACTTTAAGAAATATAATTGGGTTCATGGTAGAGGTTGCAAAAAAAAATAGAAGAAAAAGAGAATGAAAAAACA